TAGAGGGAGAGGGTTTAAAAGGAAAATAACAAGTTTTACCCTATTTCCTTCCTACTCTTCATTGATACCAGCTTCTGTGCTAACCCAGAAACCCCACAAAATGAATCTTTACAATGTAATAAAGCTTCTTTTTGCAACTGAAATAGGAGTAGCTTACACTTTTACCATAACAGTTCAAAAACAGTAACAATGTTACAGACATTCTTTCTCCCTATCCACAGCACACTAGAGTTCCTAAGGATGATGGCAGAAGTGCAGGTAAGAACTTTAGGGATAGTGTTTGAGAGACAGTGAGGCAGGACCCTGCCATTTCTCACAAGTCCCCATCTGTCCAACAAAGTGCTGCCGGCTGCCCTCTGACTTGTGGTGGTTCACATGGATAGGCATCAAGTAGAAATTAAGTTCAAAGGTACACAAGATGAGACTCAATCAATACACACTGAATCCAAGGCAAACAATAGGTCATTTGATTGTCCTCCGTAGGTGGATGGCACCATACAAAAAAAATGAAGCTGGCAATGGTTTAATAAAATAAACCGAAGGTTTGCTACAAGGAAACATGTTCAGTTGTAAATTGATATGATTCTCCACACTTTAGGGAAACCCATCTTGTCTCCCTTATTTCCTCATTCTTCATAAGGAAATATATTCTGAAAGTTGTTTCTAGGGGGCAACTCAGTATCGGTTTTGAAAGTTCATGTGAGAAAGGCATCAGGGGCCACACCCAGAAGCACCTCTTCTCCTTCTGGCAAATTTTGTACTGTCTAACTTTAGCTCTCAAATCTAATGAGATGCTTTTGCTTTTTTTCTACTATTTATTGAGTAGAGTGTGGTTAATGCTGGCTAGAAGGCTGATTTCCCACACTGCATTCCACAAACTGATGCTATAATATAATCAGCTCTAACCCACATATCCACGTGTTCTGACATTGTATAAATTTGAAACAGGCAGGTTGGGAGCTTTAAGATTTAATAACATGACTGATATCAGAAATGCAGAAATCCATGTTTAAGCGAATGACCAGCAAAACAAACAAACAAACAAACAAACAAACAAACAAAAAACCAATTAGACCAAGAAGAAAACAGATTACCGTTTTCAAAATGCAATCTGAATTTCTATTTTCACCTGGTCAATAATGACACTAGCATATTAGACTAAAGTATGGTTTCTGTAGTTGAGAGAGATCAAGATTCAGCATGATCAACTTTTAGTCTAAGAAGTTTTCTTAATTTTAGACACCAGAGCATATTGTTTACAGTAAGAGGTATCTATTAAGAGGGAAGCAAATTTTATTAAACTAATAAAAGAATGACAACCTAAAACATACTTATGAAAAAGTGTAATCACTTCAGAGAATCCCAAGGGCTTAATATAATCATTTCACAGCGAGTGTTATTTCTAAATTCCTTTCCTTAGAATAAGAAATCTCTGTAGTTACTGCTTGGAAAACTGAATTTGAGTATAAAGAACTATTAAATGATGCAAAGTGACAGGAAAAGTAGGCACAGAGGGATGGAAACATCACGTGATTTACCTAGTGCCCTGTTCCTGCTGCCAAGTCCTTTCTGTCACCTCCCAAATTCTTTTCCTCCCCTCCAGCTCACTGCCAATGTGCTTCTGTGTGACTCGGTCCCACTCTTAGGGTGCTTTAGGTCCATCTGTTCAGAAACGAGGGAACCATGTTGGAGAGACAACACCTATGAACAAGTCAGTCAGCTAAAACAGCAGAGACCTCATTCAGAATGTTGGGGAGTCACGGCTCCCAGGAGGTGGGGCCTCCTCTAAGAGTTCATCCAGGTTCTGGCTGAGATACTGGCATTCTTTCACACTGTGTCCCCTGAATCTAAAGTCAAGCAGTTTGTGTAAGGAGTCTAATAATACGGTGCTAGAGACAAAAAGCTTACATGACATACGTGACTGTCACACCAAACTATCATCAGATGACTTCATCTCTGATCACGCCCTTGTCTCTGTATGAGAGGTCATCACCAATGATCTACTGTCCTGGCATGGCAGCTTCTGGTATAGGCATTTATTTGTTATGAGGAAACTGCTCATAGCTCTTTGTATTTCATTTCTTTCTATATAGTATAAAATCAAAAAACAGACTTTATTCTCTATTTCATTTCTTTTGGGAGTATTTTAAGTGCTATTAAAAATGGAGTCCTTTTCAAATAAAATTAAAATTAAGGGGTCTAGGGCTACAGTCAGATAAAGGGTTACCTTTGGTTAGTCTGTAACATGACTGTGGTATGGATTCGCTTCTAAGATTTCCATCTGGAGTTTCTGGGCACAGGATTACCCAAGTGAACACTAGCAAGACACAGTGCTCACAGTGCCTAGGGCAGATGAAAGTGAGGAGAGAAAAATGCACATTGCCTTTTTCAAAGGAAAAACCGTAATGTATACTTTGTTTCCCAAATTCTTTGGATTAAGTAATCTCTTTAGAGCTAGGGGAAGATGAAGCTGGAGTATGTAATAAGTACTGGGCATCTGCCGTGGTGATAGCAGGTAACCCTTACTTCTGAGTAGTCAACAGGAAAAGCATCAGAAAAGGAACACACTCTATCACTGCATTATTATAAAAGAAGTAATACTGATTAGGGCCTGGAATCCCAACAAGTGGAGAAAGAACAAACTGGCCATTTGTTAACCGACATAAAAACATCAGAAGTGTGAATGTGTGTGTGTTGCCAAGAAGCTGATAATTCACATGGCTCTGGATACACAGTACCACTAATTTTATTTGTACAAGAAATGATTTGCCACTGGAATTTTCCTATATTCTTAATAATTGCTGCTGTCACCTCAGAGACCAGTGAAATCTACCACCTGCTTTAAAGTACAAAAACCCAGAATTGTTAGGAAAAAAATTTCTAAATAGAAATAATGCAACCTTAATCTACCAAGGGTCTCTAAATTGTTACCACTGATTATTATAAAGTTTACAGTTTATTTAAAATTTTTTTTCTTAAATAAATGTTTGTTCTTTAGTGTTGGGGCAAGGGACATGCTTGACAAAACACAAGAAGCAACAGAACCTACAACATTGTATGCGCTTTCGGGGGTGTGTATGTATGTGTTAAATTCTCAATTCAGAAAGGAGAAAAAAATTTGAACCTTGTTAGAATAAAAATGAAAGAAACTATTTCTAAAAGGAAGTTAATGGGTGAATTGGTAGAATTTTAGTAGTGCAGGAAATTTAATGAGTAAAGGTTATAATACATAGGAGGGGCTAATGACAAAAGGGAGAGTTAGACGGGGTAGCCAAGTTTTGAAAACAAAGCAAGTATTAACTGCTGTCTGCCCAGTTACTGTTTCTTTATCTAAAGTTAATGTGAAAAGGGCCTAACTGGATGGACTCTGCTGAATCTCCTCTGTGGGACTTTTATCTAGATCTGAAGGGTGGGGCATAAATTCAGACTTTACTTTTCCCTGGTATTTATATTAATTTTATTAAATAATGATTCCCCCCCCCACTCTTGCTGGAGAGAAAACCCAAGGTTTCAGAATGCCAAGCCAATCACTACTACCAATGATCCATACCCCCAGTCCTGAAGAATACTAAATTTGATACCAACCATTTTCCAGAAAGTCAAATGTTGTATGTTTTTAGGATTTTCTAGAGAATTTAGGAAGAAAGGGGACGAGATAAAGAAGTAAAAATGGGTATTTATAGCCTGAAATGTCTAAGAAATATAGTTTTAAAAGTATGATAAGGTTTAGAGGCCCCAAATTTAAAAGCAGGTTTCTATTGTGGGAGGTCACAAAATCCAACATTCATCTTTTAATACTGCTGGGCTTAAAAATGGCTGCCAAGGTCTCCAGTGTCAATGTGATTTGAAGGAGGAAGGATTTGTTCTACATGCTCAAAAGTACATTCCCCACAAAAGACTTTGAATTTGATCAAATTCTGGCTAAGGTAGATGACACCAGAAGGGGAAATACTGAATAGAGTTGTGAAGAGTCTGAGATCGGATTGTCTTTCCATTCCGTCAGTAAAACTTAGGCTACACTTCTCCCGCATGCAGAGCACAGGGCAGAACTTCACTGTTGACTGGTATATGGGTGGATGTACCCTGCACCTGTTCCTAAAGACACAACTCTCAGAACCTTTGCACTGAATGTCTACTAGTGGGAAGCAAGTGGGGTGCCAGGTCATGACAGTAACACTTGGGACTCTAGAGCAGCAACTTAAAATTTAGCAATAAAACTTTGGCTTAAAGTTAAAAGGAAAGAGGAAAAGTCAAACTGGTACAAGTGGTTTCCTGAAAGAGGTCTGTGGACATGGCCCTCCCAAATGTCATCTATCCTTAGTTTCTCCTGCCTCCCTTCGCAGGAGTAGTATCATTCATTTATGGTTAAGTTTCATAAATAATGAGAAGACCAAATATAACAAATACATCATATTCCCCACCCACCCAAAACCCTCCCCAAATGAGAAAACCCACGACGTCAAATTAAAAAGTAGCTTCGTGGAGTGGGGTGCTGCTCCAAGCAGCACTTTCCCTGCAAGTGCTGCCAGTGCCTCTATGCTGGCTAGGAAGGAAGGGAAAAAATTCTCCACAGAAACTGACAGAAAATTTAAAAACCAGTGTCCGGTTTCAAACAGTCAAAACCGGGCCAGGCGGAAGCTGAGTTACGTCCATGCCGTCTATCAGAGGCCTCCTCCCAATGGCTGTTCTTCATCCGGATGGGCATCTGTGTCTTTGTGATTGTAAACAATCCATAAGATATTAGGTTTTTGTTCCTTAAAACATCCTCTGATTGGCAAAATGAAGTATTTGTTTTAAAAATAGAAAATGAAGATTAAACCAGAAGAAAAGAAAAGAAACACAGTGAGCTTGTTCGGAGTCCATAGGACCCGATCTGAAGAGCCCGGAACGTGTTCTGTTTTCTCCTGTTCTCAGCTGGAAAAAGGTGCTGGAGGTTGCGTTGGTCAAGGGAAGAATTGTAGAGTAGGAAACCAAGGATGTTAATCTAGACTTCAGAGAATTCAAGTGTTAGCTTCGTCATCTGTGTCTTCTATCAATACCTTAGTGTCTCGAGCCTTGGATCTAGGGTAATGAGAGGAAATAAACATGTAACTGACTACATACGGTGCTCAGTGTGTGTCCACTCTTACCACCATCAAGCATGCATCATATACAGGAACTATCTACTGGAGAAGCTGAACAAGCAGGAACAACAGTGGGTTATGTTTAAATGTCAGAGTTTGAGTACTGACTACCCAGTGATAATGTAGGGGCCTCAGTTAAACTGGTGGCACTGCTGATTGACAATCGCACAAAATGATCTGTTACTTAGGACTCTGGGTGGAGATTCTTGTACTGTATAAAAATGGGATTAAGTAGCTGGGCGGTGGTGGCACACACCTTTAATCCCAGCACTCAGGAGGCAGAGGCAAATGGATCTCTGTGAGTTTGAGCCCAGTCTGGTCTACAGAACGAGTTCCAGGACAGCCAAAGGTGTTACACAGAGAAAGCCTATCTCGAAAAACAAAAAAGTGCTTAAGTAACATGAAAATGTTCTGCAACTCGTTAGCCCCAAGTGTGAAGGTAGTGTCTGTGAAAGGAGACTTATTCTCATGTGGCAGACAGGGAAACTGACATTCAAAAGGCTACGGATGTGCTGCAGCTGCAGGAATCATAATGTCAGAACTCAGACTCAGGTCTCACAAGATTCCCTGCACTTTCTGTAGCATAAACCCGTTCCTCAAAATATCATCCTCTGGTTGCCATCTAGTTTTTCCCTTAAACACCTGAAATGAACATAATCTGGAGCCAAAGAGCCTCACTTCTGAAACAGAAATAGTGTGTTTAGACTGCCCTCTGCTGGTATCTCTGAGACCTTCACAGGGAGGAGCTCTAACCCGCCAATGTTTTCTTCAGTTAGTTGAGTCCCCTCTCTTACCTAGTCAGCAGCCCCTACCCCCACCCAGCCTGTCAATGCCTTTGGCACCCGAGGATTCAAGGATTCAAGGACTTCCCTGCTGACTTCGGCTGCTTTACTTTTCCTCTTGCCTAAGACTCAGCTTCCTGCTTTTTTCTTCTCTACTATTTCTTCCCAGATCTCTCACTAAAGCTTGGCAGTCAAGACTTCTACTTCCCCATGCTCACTGGGCTACAGCACCTATCAGTCATTAAAATCTCCTTTCACGTCACTCCTCTTTGAAAGAACATGTTTCTTTCTTCTCTGCAAGCTTGCAGTTTTCAGTCTTGGGCTATTTGTTTGTTTCTTTGTTTTTGAGACAGGGTCTAGTGTAGACCAGACTGGCCTTGAACTTTCGATGTAAGCAAGGACAAGCATCAACTGATGCTCTCGCTTCCACTGTTGAAATGCCCTGCCAGTCTTTGGCAGGCAGTTTAGGGGAGTCCGCCCAGTTATATTTTCTCACTAGAGTTCTGGACACATGCTTTTCCTTCCTACTCTTTCCACTTGTAGTCTTATCCAAACACCACCTTATCGTCACAAAACTGTTCAACTTAAGTCTCTTTAGTTCCAGTCTACTCTGCTACTCTTCTCTCTAAATTTCAATGACTCCTAGTGTATGTATTTCCACTTGCTGGGTTCTTTTTGTGATGATACTGAGTAAGTTTCACAAGTAATGAATTTACTCCCCCTCTTTTTTTTTTTTTTTTTTTTTTCCCTTCAAGATAGGGTTTCTCTATGTAGCCCTGGCTGTCCTGGAACTCACAGACATCCATGTGCCTCTGCCTTCCAAGTGTTGGATTAAAGGTGTGTGCCACCACTGCCTGTAAGATTTACTCTTCTTAATCTCCCTTTGAGCTACATACACTCCAAGTTACAGAAGAGTAGTAACAGAGAAATTCAAGAACTTGGTCAAGATTACACAAATGATAGGATTTCTAAATGAACTTGAAGGTTACCTGTATACAAAAAAAAAAAAAAATACCATATTCAAGAATCAAGTGAATACTTTTCCAACAATTTTTTCCTGTGTTCTTTTATATTCCCAATTGGTAGGCAAATACACTGACACTTATCTGATGTACTCATGAAGACATTCCAGAAGTTGATTGTATAGAGTGGTTTGTTTCTATTACTGTCTGGAGAGGAAGTATGGCTGAATATCAGCAACTTAATCTGGTTCAGTTTAGGAGCTTCTCAGCTAACGTTACAATGTTAAAGACCAAAGTAGTAGTCCACTCAGACGTGGAGGCTATACATACTGGGATGCAAGGCGAGGCCGGCGCAGAGATATGCTCTGGTTGTACTTCCATGACCGATTCTTCTGGCGGTTTCGAACCCCATCTTCCTGGTCCATCATCTGCTCAAGGAGTGTCTGATCATCTGCATTCAGTGGGGCTACAGAGATGTCCCGCACAGCACGGAATTCACCACAGTTATTTAGATGCTCATTCTCCAGACGGAAGAAGTTCCATACAAATCGTCTAGGCAAAATGGGGTAAATACATCCAAGTTAAGATCTGAAGATATTACTACCTATAAACTTCCTGGAGGCTCAAGTTCCTATTCACCGAGAAAAAAACAAACCAATTATTATAGGCTAGAATATTAATCAAAGAGAGGGCTAGGGAGATGACGATTCAGTTAGCAAAGCACTTGCCTCATAAGCATGAGGATATGAGTTTGGAAATCCAGAACCCATGTCAAAAGCCAGGCACAGGAGTGTGCATTCGTAATTACAGCAATGGCAAGACAGGCAGCAGACAGGTGGACCTATACTAGACCAGTAGAGCCAGAGCCAGCCCAGCCTACTCGGTGAAGTTCCAGGCTGATGAGAGACCCTGTCTCAGACAAAAGGTGAAAGGCACCTGAGGAATGACACTGAGTTTGTCCCTGACCTTCACATGCACCCCCCTCCCCTGACACACACCCACACAATAAATGAAATGAAAGGGAAAGATGGTGTGATGACTGGGAGAAAGCCAACAAGACTGCCTTTTGGAATACAATCTTTCTCTTTATCCACTATTTACTGAATGTTTATGAAAAGGAGGAAACGACACTGAATGGCACAGATAGAGTCTCTGCCCTTATTTCAGTAGTGAAGACAGGTGAGTAAATAAATAATCAGCTGTTAGGTGCTCTGCAGACTAATGAGCAGAAAAGAAACAGAGTACCCTGCCATAAGACTGGTTGGGGAAACTGACTTTGACATCCAAGAAAAGTGTGAACGATACAAAGAGGCAAGTTATAGGAAACTCAGGGAGACAAGGTTGACAAGGCTGGGGAATAACAGGATAAAAAAAGTCTAAGAAAACACTTTTGGTGTATTGGAATAGAAGCAAGGTCTGTGGGGCCAGAGTGTAAAATGTGGTTAAAATAGCAGGAAATAAGATGCTGAGTCAGAAGAGGACCCATCCCCACAGATATAAACCTCTGGGAAGAGCCCAGGTTTCACAGTGAGGGGTTTGAGGAGACTGACACAATTTGTTCTAAATGGATTACTCTATTGATGGAAGAATGACTGGGCAAGGGGGGAAAAGAACAGATGGAGACCAGTTAGAAGTCTGGGGAAGCTGATGATGACAGGAAGTGCAGATGATGATGGGAAGCAAAGACTTGTCAAGTGGCCTGAGAGAAGGGTGAGGTCATTTGTTAGGACTAAAAAAGCAGATCTCTTCCTGTTAGGTAGAGCTACCCAGTCATTAGGTACCCCTGTGGAGATTCAGTAGGTAGATGGACAGTGAGCCTGGAGATCAAGGCAGAGTTTGGGGCTGGAGACAGCATAAGGACAATATTTCAAATCACGGGCTTTAGGAATAAAATGATTAGAAGAGACCAGTGCAGAACACCATCCCAACACTTACAGGTCAGGAAGAGGAAGAAAAACCAGTAAAGGAGTTGAGAAGAAAAGCTATGAGAATTAAGAACATAGTTCCTGAGAACCTGAGAGAAAGACAGTGCTTTGCTGGGAGATAAAGGATAAATAAAGAGGGCTGAAGGCAAGAATTTTCAAAACAGCATAATCCAGGAGCTTCAAGTCGAAGACTGTCTAGAGTCTAATCACGGCTCCACCACTTACTAGCCCTAAAGATGATGGATGAGTTTCTTTGCCTATATTTTTCTGTCACTGGGAAATGGGCTAACACTGGAACTTCACCCTGGCTGTGCAGGCTGAGGAACAGTGCAGAAGTGTAACTGTTACCGCAGAGTACTTCATCCTTAATTCTTATTACACATCATTTAAAAATGGATTTGTCTGAGAGTCTGTGAGATGCCTGCATAGGGAATTGGAAGCCAGCGTGGATAACTTAGTGATACTCCACCTGAAACACACACACACACACATACACACAACACATGCACGCACACCACTGAAGAATTGGCTTGTCAATTTTCACACATATACCAATCTCTCATTAGATTTACTTCTGGGTGTTTTAATATATTTGGCATTATTAAAATGATATAAGTTCTTTAAAACCCTCCTCACTGTATACCCACACTTGCAGCATTATGGTGGTAAACCAAACTGGTGACAGCAGACATGGGCTCATCCTAACCACAATGGAAAGCTTACGGCGCTTTATGATCTTATATCTTTTTATCTTTTTATTTTTTCAGGAACAAATATCGACTTGATTTTTAAGTTGTTGAAATTCTTGTTTGTTTGGTTTTGAGATAGGCTTTCACTGTGTTGCCCAGCCTGACCTCCAACAGTCCTCCTGCCACAGCCTTTAAAACAGCTATGACTATAGTCAGATACCTCTTTGCTTAACCAAGTATTGCAATCAATGGCCTTTCCCACATGGAACAGACTCCTCCCTCTTATTCTGCTATTGAGTTAAATGGCATGAATTAGTTTTTGAAAACTGTGGTAGTCTGAATAAGAATGGCCCCCATAGGCTCATATATGTGAATGCTAGGTCACTAGTTGGTGGAACTGTTTAAGAAGGATTAGGAGGAATGGCTTTGTTAGAGAAGGTGTGTCACTGGGATAGGCTCTGAGGTTTCAAGAGCCCATGGGCAGAACCAGTCTTGATTTCTCTGCCTGCTGCCTGCAGATCAAGATATAGCTCTTAGCCACTGCGTCTGCACCATGCCTGCCTGCTGCCATGCTTCCTGCCACTGATCATATACTGACCCTCTGACACAGAGGCTCCGTTAAACACTTCCTTTTATAAGCTGCACCAGCATGGCATCTCTTCACACTAACAGAACAGTAACTAAGACAAATATTAAACCTTAATTCATAGAATGATCCTAAATTTTTTGAAGTATTAATCTTTCTAGCTGCTAGTGGACTCACTGACTAATGTTGTGTTCAGAATTTCTGCAACTATGCTGCAAGACAACATTATGATAGCACAAGGTCTTTCTGGGAATATCTTTGGAGGTTCAGATGACTGCCATACTAGCCTTATATTCCTTCTTTTTTGTAGTTCTCCCTTGAAGTTCATTGTAAAAAAGAAAAAAAAAAAAGAAAAGGTAAAAAACTGACCAACTATTTGGAAGAATTTCTGGGACTGGAGTTTTCTTCATGGAAAATATTTTGATACTGATTTAAATTTTGGTGCCTTGAAAAATATAGATTTCTTAGATTTTCTATTTTCTTATTGGTTATGGTAAACTATTTTTTTTTAAAGGCATTTGACTATTTCACCTAATGGTACTTACAGTCTCTTTAAAAACCTTCAGATCTTCCCTCCTGTGCCAGGGATGGGATGCAGAGCTTTACACAAGTCAGTCAGACTCTGCCTCTGAACCACACCCCGGCTTTCTTTAGGGTTCCCAGTGGCTGTGGCTTCTTCCTCCTGCTTTCCCTGGATTAGTTTGAGTTAAGTACTTCATCGATCATTACTCTTTTAAAGAGTCTGTTTTTATTAATATTCTCTACTGCACTTCTATTTTCAGTCTGGTAATTTCTAATCTATGTGTTTCCCTCTTGGGTTTGATTTGCAGTTTTAATTTTTTTTCTAATTTCTAAAGCTTTCTACTTTTCTGATATATATTATATGTTCCAGTGGCTTTTTAGTTGCATTTTCATTTTCTTTTGCTGTCACTTTCAATTTCAGTCTCTTAAAAATATTTGAGCCAGGAGGTAGTGATGCATGCCTTTAATCCCAGCACTCAGGAGGCAGAGGCAGAGGCAGGTGGATCTCAGTGAGTTCAAGGCTAGTCTGGTCTATAAAGTGAGTTCCAGGACAAACAAGGCTGTTACACAGATAAATCTTGTCTCAAAAACAACAGCAAACAGTTTTTACCATTTCTGTTACATTTTAAACTTTAACTCTAGGGCATTCAGACATCATGGTCTGAATCTGAAGTGTTCCCAGTGTGCTGAGTCTTTCCAGTATTACTTTGAAGGCTGTGGAACATGGAGGAGGTGGGGCCTGGCCAGAGAAGATCACCTGTAATTTTTGAAATTTATACTTGTCCCTAGTTCTGGCCTCTATTTTCTTGTCCTGGTCCACTGTAATTGACAAGCCTTGGTCACTTGCTATGTCACCATGCCCTGCCATCCACCCCTACCATGGACTCAAGTCCCTCCTTTCCATCCTGCCCCCGTTGGTTCTCTTTCACAGTGGAAAAATGATGGGTACAAACATGTTTTGGTTCACTTCTAAATGTCTGATATTTTTAAACCTATCTTTTCGTGATATAATAATAATAATAATAATAATAATAATAATAATAGTAATAATTTTGAGACAGAGTCTCATATGTATCTCTGGCTGGTCTAGAACTCTATGCAAACCAGGTTGGCCTTGAACTCACAAGGATATACTTGCCTCTGTCTCTTGAGTATTTGGATTAAAGGTGTGCACCACCCCATGCCCAAACAAATTTTATTACATCATCTTCTTTGTATTTGTGTGGGCATGAATGCCATAGTTCATGTGTGGCGGTTAAGGACAACTTCATTCTGCCATCTGGGTCCCAGGATTAAACTCAGATCATCAGACTTGGTGGTAGTAAGTGCCTTACCTGCCCAGTCAGCTTGCTGGCCCAGTACCGGGCATCTTTTAATAGAATCCTTGATAGATTGTTCAAAGGTTTGCTTACCGGAAAACCTCAAGGGGAGCAAAGACAGTAGCAATGATGTCTCCAACATGAGGCTGAAAAGCTGTAGCAGTAATAGAGATTTGGATAGTCCAAGCAAAGCGCAGTATCACATCTTCTATGATGGCACAGTAGTAGTAGGCCTAAGAAATATAGAGTATGTTTCTCATCATTTTTCTCACAAAGTACTTCCACATCAGCTGTTAAGACCCACAGATGTCCCACTAACAGATATATGGGGGAAATATACATAGGTTTTAGCTTCCCTAAATAGTGCAGTATTTAAAATGATGTAGTGCCGAGTTTCAGAAATCACTTAACAAGTGGAGTTCATGCCCACACTGTGCACAAGACTGCCTTCTAAGTTAGATGAGAAGCCTGATCAACTGAGGTTACATTCTAGGAGAAACATGGTAATGCAATCACCAAGTCACTAAAGGACATTAGCACATTTATTAATTGTACCATTTACATTTTCAAATTTCTTCATCCCATATATAGAACAGGTTTGTCTTGTTTTTTTAAATTGATAAATCAACTTTCACAAACATGGCTGAACATAAGAGATAGTATTCAACTAACCCAGTTTAATTACCCATGTCTTAAACATAAAAACAGCCAACAGATCCCAAAACTCATGGATTTGCTTATGACTAAGCAAAATTAGCACTTCAAAATATATTAAAAACTGTGCATTGTTTGGTAAACAAGAACTGCTATGTACCGACCTGTAGTATTTATTTAATTTAGTTTTAGAAAGTATTGTTCTTTTATGCATGCAAGTGTTTGCTGGCATACTGTATATATGTGTACTGTGTGTATGCCTGGTGCCTTTGGAAGCCAGAAGAGAACACTGAGTCCCCTGGAAGTAGAGTTATAGGTGGTTGTGAGCCGCCATAGGATGTTGGGAACTGAATGCAGGTCCTCTCCAAGATCAGTAAGTGTTCTTATGCACCGAGCCATCTCTACAGCCCTACTGAATTTCAACAAAGTATCTAAGTCACCATCAGAGGTCTATTAACAAGAACGGATATTTGATCCCTGTACTTCCTCTTTTCCATTCCCCAGAGACAGACATTTGTAACTGCCTATTCCATTTGCCCTCCATAATTTTAAATAATGTGTTTAATGTTTTGACTAATCAATGAGACATTATCCACCAACTGATTAGTTTTCAAATTAAAAATTTAAAAGTGTACAATAAGCAAAAGGCTTCAGTAGGGCATTTTCAATCTTTATTCTTATTCACCCCCACCTCCTTGCCCCATCCCCTCTTCTTCCCCAACAATAGCTCCTCTTTTATTTTCATGTCACATGTGTGTCGTCATTCCCATCTTCCTCCTCCATTTAAAGTCTTTTTTAAAAGTCATGGTCCCCTTGCCAGTTTCACAAAACACACACACACACACACACACACACACACACACACACACACACACCCACACCCACACCCACCCAATCTAGGTTCCCAACATGAGAGAAAGCAGGCAGGATTTTTTATGATGACTGTGATAGGATTTTATAATGAAGATTCATTGTTACTTCACAAATGGGTTATTTTACTTTTTTCTTATAAATTTGCAATTACAATGTAAGAAAGTATATACTTTATTTTCTATGGCATTGAAATATAATAAAGAAACTAATTGAAAGATTCTACTCACTAATTTCATTACATAGAAAATGGTAAATCAGAACTCATTTTAATAGAAAACAGACTAATTTATATAAAGATACAGTGAACTAGCATTAGAAACAAATGTGTTGCAGTGTCACCAAACACCACAAGCAGTAAAAGGAAGCACACACATTGTGAACATAAAAGAAGCTTTAACTGAATTCATGCCTCCAAAGCCACAGAGAAACCCTGTCTCGAAAAACAAAAAGACAATCTGTGTACTGCCCCTGTTAGTGCTTTACCAGCATGCTATTCCCTGGCCCCATTCCATTCATTTTCCTCTTAATTGAGAATGATAAAAATGTTTAATGCCTCAGTCACAGCATTCTTTGCTCAATATTACACAATCACATACTTTTCAAAACACAAATGTGATGTAATGGTGGCATTTTGGTATAGTATAACATACTATTAATGCAATCTATATGTTATCCATAACAGAACTTTAGGCCTGAGAATAAATCAAGAGCTAATGTAGTCAACATTCTTATCTTTGAGAATCCCCTGCAGTACAACTGGGATTGGAAAACACCTACCCAGATTCCCAGCTCATTTTTTAATTTTCTTTCAAGGTCTAATCATGGTATTTACCTTTACTAAATCATCTCTGTAAAGATACTTTTTTCCTGATTGGGTTGGTACTAACAAATACTCATTGTGCTAGACAACAGGATCTGAGTAGTCGCCAGTCCTTTCCCCGTGGGTGTTCAGAAAGCTGCCTTTCCAGTCATATGTAGTCACTCATTCGGTGTACACCAAATCTGCTACACACCAAAAGTTATTCTGAGAAGTGAGGAATATGAACACCCAATCATAATTATAACATAATGGGAAGATTATAAAGTAAAGGGAAGACCATTTGAGATAAAAAGGGAGAGTGCAAATGGCCAAATATGCTAAGAAAATGGAGGTTTCTCAGAGTCAGTCAGACTCTCCAGCAGTTACTACATCGTACTGCCATCTGCTTATCTGCTTACATTCGCACTGCATCTACCACATGGCAAACATGATAAATTCTTTTGTGGACTGGATTGGTATCTTGGATAATTTTTTGTTTTGTTTTCTAAGACAGGCTTTCTCTGTGTAACTATCCCTGCTGTCCTATGTAGACCAGACTGGCCTTGAACTCAGACATCTACCTGCCTCTGCCTCCCGAGTGCTAGGATTAAAGGCATATACCACCCTGCCGGATAATTATATTTTAGTCATATTTAGATTAATGTAATTAGAGCTTTGGGTCAGTATTGCTGAATGATCTAACTACTGACATATCTAAGGGTTTTTACTTTTTCCTTAAGTGTGAACATCCCATACATACCTTTTGAGGGTATACAATTTCTTCCCGGAGGAAAGTGTTTTCTCCTGCATTCTTATCGAAGAGACCCCAGTCCATCTTGAGATCCCAGATGAGGGTGTAGCAGGAACTGATGGCACAAAAGACCACCCACAGGTAAAGGAACACCATGGTATCTGAGTGCTGCCGTTCTGGAGAAAGAAGGAAAAGCAAAAAGAGAAAATTACTAGATTGAACCAAACATATTCTCTATAGTGCCCATAAAAGAAATCAAACTCAAGACAAACATCCTTAGAAGCATTGTCTAACAAAGGTTAATAATAAATATGACTTCTCTGAAGGCCAAAAAAAAATCACTGAACTAATAGAATACAAAATTATACAAATGTTTATTAAGGTCTAAGGATTTATAATGAATCTATAACATTTCAATGTACTCTACGGATTGTATAAACATGTCATTTAAACTTTTGCCATTAGGTGGCAGCTTAGGGTAAAAGATAGAAAAAAAAAAATGCAGAAACATCACAAAGAAAGGGCCACTTTTCCTCCAAGAAGTCTTGGGTTGTTTTGGACTTGAGAGCATTTCCTTCACACACCTTGATCTCATCAGCACTTACTGTGAAGGCAATCAGGTAACTCCAGAAAAAAATGCAGAACAGACTGATGAGGCATTCACCCTTTTATGTTTCTAAAAACAGTTTCCCTCAAGTCAGAGCTTGATAATTTTGCTTCTTTCACAGGGACATTACTAATACAAAGGCCCAACCCATTGTTCTATTGGAAACAGTACTTTTGGCTTTATTCTCCTAGAGAACACCAGAAAGCACACTAAATCAGAATAAAAATAATTTGTAAACATAGTTAAACAATTTGATCTTTTTTGGTCTTAAGTGCCTTGTTTGCTCTGTGAAAGTCTCCTTCAGTAAGTTCCAGAGTTCCCACGATGTTCTCCAGTTTCAAGATATGGACAGATAACAAACAATCTGGTTTCTGAACTATCAGGAGAAAGAATGGTGCATATGATGTAATTCCAAACATCTTTAAGTTCTGGTCAGTTTCTCAGATTGTATTATGCATTCTCCACAATTTGTCCTACTTAAATAAACAAGTATTTATTAATCATTTTAAGGTTATTAATGTGTTGGGTACAGTGTGATCCAAAGGTAATTAATAACCTACCTAGTGACAGACATTTGCTACAAGAGGAAACTTGAGTTCAAATGAAGTACAAGGAACTGAAAAAACATCAAGGAGAATGGGAGTTTCCCACAGAAGGAAATGAGCATCGGTAGCATTTGTGATATTTCTAGAAAAAGAAATAAACAGTATTTCGAAAGCGAGGCAGATGAAGTGAGGTCATTCAAGGCTGAAGACACTTTTGAAAAGGGTTGGGGTAGGAAAGTGTGCTGTGTTTAAACAATTACAAGTCATCTACATCTAGGGCAGGGGACACAGAACATACGGCAGTTTGTAACAACTGGAAATAACACTGGAAAAGATATGTGGGACTTGACTGTAGAATGACTTTGGGCCTTAGGATCAGCTCTGTATTTTAGAAAAATAAATGCTCAGACATTTAGCAACACCAGAATTGCATAGTTAGAAAAAACTTATACCTTACAGGTCTAGAACAACTGGATTTAGTATGTAACAGCTCTTGAGATACACACTGTTTGCAACTAGAGTTAGTATGTTTCAGCTCATGAGATAAACACTATTTGCAACTGGAGTTAGTATATATCAGCTCATGAGATATACACTGTTTGTTGAAACAATCATTATTAAACATTAAGCCACACAGACATAATTAGCTATATTAAAGTAATAGAACTCAGAATTCATCACTTCTTCAGGCTGTTAAACCTTGTTCTTTTCTACCCTTCCACGGTTATATACATTCTGTCTGCATGATGGAAACATGTACAATGCTGGTTTATTGTACATCTTTTCTCAACTCTACACCCAATATGAGTAGCCTGAAATTGGGTCTGATGGAAATAGTTACATCATGGAAATCAACAAACAATAAAGCCAGTGTCCTCATTCTCCATGTACCACCAGCATATCACTTGTTTAGCATCTTTTAGACAGTCAGGAGGAGGGAAAGGCAAGTGATTCTGATTGATCTATCCAAAAAAAAAAAAAAGAGCAAAAAAGCTCTACTTGGATAGAAATAAATTTTCAGGTTTGAATTATAGTCATAAAAGTTTTCTTCTTCAAAAGCATATTGGTCTGAATATTTATATTAGAATACTGAATATGGATTTTAAGTGTCTAACACATTAATTAGCTAGGTATATTTGGATTTGTTCAGAGGTCAATTAACTAGTATCAATTGTCAGCTTCATGATACATTGAAACATGCTCACAATTCATCTATCAAGGAATGGAATGAAACCCAACTCTTCATATTTCAAAGACAAGATGAACACAAATTAAAAGACAAGCAATTTGACAATAAATTATGTTAGCAACTTTTAAAATAATAAGCCATATACTCTACAAGAATTACTTGAATTTTTCCAATAATAACCTATTAATTAGTTTGCCAGGAAGTGAGGATTTGCACAAAGAGTAACAGGTATATATATTCAGTAGGTCACAAATTGATGTTTATCAAGTGAGTACAGGTACTACCAAGTCTTATTCCTGAAAGCCATTATTAATTACTGAAGAAAAGGAATTAATAGTGAAACAAAACATGGTGTGCTAATTTTCCTGCATTTCTAGATTTTAAGTTTTGTCTTTATAGTACAATTCTTAAAATGGTACAACGGTTCAAGTAGCTTCCTCTTTCTAGGCCCAATTATTCTATGAGACACACGCAGACTTCCAGAGCTTTAAAATAAACAAATATTCTTACAGAAGACTTGAGAAGGAGTGATACTTTACCCCCCAGACTTGACAAGAGGTGACATTTTACCCACCAGACTTCAGAAGGAAGACATTTTACCCCACAGACTTGAGAAGGGGTGATATTTTGCCCCACAGACTTGAGAAGGAGTGACATTTTACCCCCCAGACCTCAGTGCTGCACTTGTGCTGCATTGTGGTCTCATTTCTGATCTTTCCCATTTCCCAAATAAAGAATGTTTCTCCCTTAAATCTTCCTCCTTCGTTGCTATTCAGGGACATACTGGAAGGATGTTACCTCATTAGAAAAGCAATTACACCTTATTCTCTCTTGGCTTACCCTAGGAGTCAGTCCACTTTGGTAATGGTGAGAATCACAGAAAATCAAGTCATTGCTATTCTACCAGAGGAGCCTATCTCTTACCCATCTGCCACACTAGAAGCCGAGTATATGGAATACATTTGTGCAAATGACACCTATTGAATTTTAAATAAAAATAAATTTCATAAGAGTTGCATACCCACAACCATGAGAGGAATGAAAGGTGAAGTAAGAGTTGGAGGAAGGACAACCAGAACATCATACAGCAATCAGTATCTGTCAGTAAGAGTAGTTTAACGTGAAGAGAGTGAGCAGTCTTTTTACCCAAAGACAGTCCTACTCTGATAATTATCACATTTTACCTAAAGTTAAATAAAAAATAAAAGAGAGGGCATTGTTTTCAAAGTCCAAACCTTCGAGTAAACTGAATTATGCCTGTGCTTAGCATATACTAAATCCTGCATTTGCTCCCATAGTTCCCAAGCCAAACCATTGAATTCGGAGATTAATACTATTCTCTGAAAAATGAGCAAATACACAGGTAATCTGCAATATATAATAACATAAAAGCCATATGCCCTCAGAAGAAGTTATAGTTTGGATTCTGACTAGTTATATGCTTCATGATAGTTTCAGGATGACAGACAGCAGCAGCAGACACAGCTCCAGCAGGCATGAGTTCCAGACTTCAAGAAGCTGGTCCTCCAAAGTGCACAAGCTATGATGTGTGAAGTGTCCTGAACACAGGTGGACTTACAATACTCTCAGTGACACAGGTTTACAGGACATACCCTATCACAGGAGTATCAGTACATGGTCACTGATCATCACTGTGTTTTAGTTAGCACGTATGATTGTACATAATACTCCTCAGGTAGTGACCATCTTTATATTGAAGCAGGTAAAACAGCTATTCTTATTTTCATTTACAGTTAAAGATTCTAAAGTTCAGAGATAGGAAGTAGAAAAATAACTGGTTTTGAAGTTAAAAGATCTGGGTTGGGATATAAGACTCTATCACTTCCCAACTGTGTGGTTACAGAAGATTCATATTCTTACATGATTGAGACAAAAATACAACTAATTAGGCCTAAGAATAAAAGAGGAAAAGAGAAATAGCAATCCTATTCAAGCAACTTATTGTTTGTTTTTCAAGACAGGGTTTCTTGGTATAACTGCCCTGGCTGACCTGGAACTCAATTTGTGGATGAGGCTGACCTCCAACTCACAGAGATCCGCCTGCCTCTGCCTCCCGAGTGCTGGGATTAAAGGCATGCACCACCATCCAGCTCAAGAAAGTTTTGTACCACAGAGCATGCTTTCCTGAGTCCCTCTCACCTTTAAAGTGAAAGGGAAGTTCTAGGAACTATAGAGTAGCATTAAAATATGCAGAAAATGACTTAAAAACTATATATAGAAGCTAAGGGAGTAGCTCCGTGGTAGAGTGATGCTCAGCATCTGTGAGACCTGGATTCAACCTTCACATCAAAACAAAGTCCAGCTGGGGAGTGGTGGCACAAGCCTTTAATCCCAGCACTTAGAAGGCAGAGGGAGGCACATCTCTGTGAGTTCTAGACAAGTCAGAGCCACACATGAGACTCTTATCACAAAAAAGCCACCCCTGCAAACAAACCCCAAACCAAAACTATACACATATTATTTAAAATTATTTTTGTATATAAAAATGATTACAGCAATGACAAAGATGATTATTCCAGATGAGGGAACTCATTTTAGGCTTATTTCTGTATTATTTGATAATTATAGTAAAACATATGTATATATATATATATATATTTATTTTTGGTGCATAGTGTTTGCTGCATGTATGTATGTGCACTACATGCATGAAGCTTGTGAATTTCTTTAAAAGGAGAAGGGAAGAAAGTGAACAAAGATAAATAGTTGTTAACATGGTGATATTTATAAATGATGTATTGTTTTTATAATACTGTACAGGAATTCCTTTATTAAACAAAGGGTTATAATTTATATTATTTGTTATATGGATAT